CTGAGCTGGAGGAAAATAAAGAGGTTAAATTGGTCTGGTGGTTTATTCATTCAGCTCATGTCTACAGAATGAGGACGTGACTCCATCTAGTGGTGTAGTTGAGAACAAATCCTGTGAAAATTGGAGGTGTCAGGCCTACCCAGCTACTTTGGGCGATCGTGGCTCAAGAGTTGGGAGTTTGCCTTGTAATCGGAAGGTTGCCGGTTCAAGCCCCGGCTTGGACTTGGGCAAGACACTTCACCCGTTGCCTACTGGTGGTGGTCAGAGGGTCCGGTGGCGCCAGCTTCGCCTCTGTCAGTGCGCCCCAGGGTGGCTGTGGCTACAATGTAGCTTGCCATCACCAGTGTGTGAATGGGTGGATGACTGGATATGTAAAGCACTTTGGGGTCCTTAGGGACTAGTAAAGCGCTATATAAATACGGGCCATTTACTTTTGTTAAGATTCTTGTTTTACTTAATACAGGATGTTTTCTAGGTTTGGGTTCAAAGTGTAAGCAAAAGTGGCACATTTACTCGGCATGGGATAGTTGGGGCAAATCGGATCTGGAGAGGTGTTTATTCGTGACTACGTTTTACCTCCGATACGCCAACCAGCTTCAGCGCTCAACTGACGTACTAATTGGATCATTCAAGGTCATTATCCAGTTATACGTGCTGCTGCTGTTCTGGGAGGGCTTGTGTGCCTTTGTTTAATTAACCTGTTTCCTCCTGATTCTTTCAGGGGTGTGTGGTTTCAGATAAAATCTATTTGACCTCATACAGTCTTTTAATGTGGGTGGTCAAACAAGTGTAATAGGCTTCTGTAGCTGGAAATGTGGCAGTGAATGTGACATGTTGTGGATTATGTGTTTTATTTAGTGTACACAACCCAAGCATGCGGTTCTTATATTCAGCTATTCAGGGAAAAATAAAATGAACTGCAGTGTTGCAGTTACGGATGGTATTCTGTATAGTCCATCAGTTGTATGCCACAGCGCACATCATTTCCTTTTATCAATGTTGGCATGTTTCTCTGACACTGACAGGCAAAACAATCACATCAAAATCACGGCAGTGATTCACATGGAACTCTTTTCTTTTCTGTTCTGTTTCTTAAATGTGTTCAGACACAGAGATAACAAAAGACTTGTATTGAGGCTGAAAAACTGTCTAGGCCATCTTTTTTTTTTTTTTTCCATATAGATAATTGGTCTATAAGGGAGCCGATTAAGAATAAGGCCAGTTACTGGCATTACTATCGCTAAAAGAGTGCTAGTATTGTAGTTCATTTTCTGATTAGAAAACCTAAAGTTTTTTGAATTGTGTGCTTCAATTTAAACATGCAACGGATATCTGAAACATTTGAATTGCTGAGATGAAGTCTCAGTCTGATGTAATGGCTTTACAGTTAAATGAGGGTGGGATTTTATTTATTTATGTTTATTTGTTTTGTTTTTTTATTACTATTCTAATGTTGACAAAAAGCTTGTCAATAACCAGTGCACACGCTTGCTCTCTTTCAGAGGCACTGAGAAGTGATAGACCCTGTGGTCCCTGTGAAAGAACTCCACCCCCGGCAGGTTGGCCACATCCCCCTTCCCTCCTGCCTCCATGTATCCTGAATCTACCACAGACTCCCCCGCTCGCCTCTCCCTTCGACAGACTGGCTCACCGGGCATGATCTACAGGTAAGCTGATGGATGCGAACACAGACAGATGCAAACACATTTTGTCACGTGTAAGTTCATGTTTCAGTCAAATTAAGTGTATGAATTAGTATAGATATTAGACATGAAAGATTTACCTGTGGGCGTTTAATCATATTCCCTCAGACGGTATAAAAGACAAACTGTGACGTCACCTATTGGTTTGTAAAGCCTCAGGATGAGTGGTTTCACTCTTGCCATCAGGCTATTTTAAAATCAGGTGTGATGTAGGGTGCGGAGCTGAAAGTCAAGCTACTTGCTCATTTTCTTACAATTTGTTAATCGCAAGTTAGCTAAAGCTTGGGTAATTCTTCTTTCTGACACAAAGAATGAACAGTTTTACCAAAATGAACAGTGTTTCAGTTAGTATGAACCAAAATTAGTCACTTCTATAGGACTGGAAATCTTTTTGCCAACACAGATATCGCCTATGGTGGTTATTAGAAAAAAATGCAGGTTTAAGGCACTTGCGCTTTCTTTAAAATCTGTAGCCTGTGTTATTGTTACCGAGAAAGTAAGTACACAAACTGTCCCCCATTTCACATGCATGTACACAGTTACCAGTATTTCCAGTTGTGGTCAGAAGTTTACATACACTCATCATGGACATGAATGAGTTTTAATGATTTCTTTGAACTGTTCTCTTCCGAAGGTGGAAGGAGTGTACAGCATACATTTTAAATTGACTTTAAAAGGCAAGAGTTAGGTGCATTTTGGATTTTAATTTAATCCACACAGGGTCAAAAGTATAACTACACCCCCACTAATGTTTGGTTATATGTCCCATAGGAGCCAAACACCTTTGGTAGCCTTCAGCAAGCTTCTAGCATATTTCTGGCTCGCTACGCTCAGCAAGCTAACATTAACCATCTGGAGTGACCTTCACAAAGCCCAGAGCTCAGTCCTATTGAAAATTTGTGGACTACAAATACTACTGCTGAGGTGGCTATAGTTCAGGTGGTAGAACAACTAATCAGAAGATTGGTGTTTCAATCCCTGTCTGCTCCAGTCTGCGTGCCAAAATATCCTTGGGCATGATAATAAGTTATTAAGTTGCTCTCCGATGCATCCACAGATACCAAAAATTGTCCAGTCAAGGAGCAACTTGCTAAACAGTGGGGATGTATTCATGACCCTGTATGTGTACTTTTGACCCTGTGTGGATTAGAGAAAATCCAAAATATTTTCAGACTTGTGCACCAACTTCTTCTTCTTCTTCTTCTTTTTTCTTTTTAAGTCATTAAAGATGTAATGCTGAACAGTCTTTCCACCATGGTAAGAGAACAATTCAAAGAAATCATCAAAACCCCAAATTACCAAACATTCATGCCCAGCATGAGTGTATGTAAACTTTTTCTGACAACTGTATAATATGTGTGTGCATATATAACCTTTTACTGTTCTCTAAAAATGGCTTGTACACCTCTGCTAAAGTGAAATGGACCCCTAATTTGTGCTATAGGGTACACACACACACACACACACACACACACACACACACACACACACACACACACACACACACAGAATTAATATATATCTGTGTATCTTTTATCTTTTTTATTTTAAAGCAATTTTAATCTAAAAATCTACATACTGCTAATGGAGAGATGCCAAACTGTCTTTCATTGGTCTTGTAACAGTGTAACAATAAAGATCTATTCTATTCTACTCTAATGGACTAAGTTGTGTGTTATCATGTACTATGGAACTTCACCAGCAAGTGGCGCCAAATACTCAACCATTTAATTTGTTCATTTTCGTTAATCGGTTCTCTGTGTGAATTTAACATTGCATTCATTATGAACTGATAGGATGCAGGAGCTGTAATATTCTGCGATCTGCACAGCACAGAAGTTAAAGAGCACTTTTTGGATTCATGTAATGGAACAGTGGAAGTTGATGAGAGGAAATCTTTACCTACCATTTTTGTCTTTACTGAGTTTAACTGTGGTCTCTAACTAGCGCAGCTGTGCCTTTGAGCTTTTCACCTGTACTAGCTCACGTCCACAGTTTCACAATCATCAATAAGAGTCACTGCATAAGTATTGCATTTGACTAAATTAATGGCTTAAAATGGAGCAACAACTTCAGCTGCATTATTAGTGTTGCTTTATTTCTGATGATAGATGTAAAGTAATGCCATGGTTACACTGATGAAATATTGATAGCACATCATCTATATATTTTTTACTAAATGGTGTTTATTTTTCATCAGTACTTGTTTAATATGAACTTGTACAACACAACAAAATGTACATGGTTTTTCAGTGTTATGTAGTCATGTAGATTAAGCAAACACATTCGTTATGCATTCCTGCATAATGCTTCCATATAGCTCCCAACAAACAATGATTTATGATTTTAAACCTGGTGAAGGGTTACTGTGTAATTACTACTTTGGCCAAATAACTAAATTGTAATATATACTAATCAAAAATGGTAAATGGCCTGTATTTGTATAGCGCTTTACTTAGTCCCTATGGACCCCAAAGCGCTTTCAGGCATCCACCCATTCACACACTGGTGATGGCAAGCTACATTGTAGCCACAGCCGCCCTGGGGCGCACTGACAGAGGTGCCACCTGGCCCTCTGACCACCACCAGTAGGCAACGGGTGAAGTGTCTTGCCCAAGGACACAACGGCCGAGACTGTCGGAGCCAGGGTTCGAACCGGCAACCTTCTGATTACAAGACGAACTGCTAACTCTTGAGCCACGATCGCCCCGCAATAAAAAAATGCTTCTAGTTCAGTTGTTTCATAAAACTATATTGTGTGTGTTAGGGTTTTTTTTTGGTTTGTTTTTCTTCCCCTGGTACTTGTTGGGAACAGTTTATTTCAAGGCGTAAGTCATGTTGCCTGGACTCAAAAGAAAATAAAGCATTAAGTATTGTATGTGTACATTGCTACAGTATGAATTTGTTATGATTGTTTTATGTTTTGTCCTCGAACTCTCATTAATGACGTCATCTCAATTTGAGTGTTATACATTATCTGCATACATATCCTCATTGAGCCAACATATAGAACAAACAATGTATTGGGAAAGCTCCTTATAATGCAGTATTTTATTTTTCTCCCTCATAACTTTTGCGTACTTGTTCCCTCTCTGGCTAACACTCAACACCATCTTAGTGTCTGCATCTAACTCTTTGCCACTGCTAACACTACTTTCCTTTCCTTTCCTTTCCTGCTTTTATTAACTAAAGCTTTCCTTTTTCCTCCTTTCCCTTGCTATCTTCAGCGCTCGTTATGGGAGCCCCAAACGACAGCTGCAGTTCTACAGGTACCTTTGTGTGTCTGACATTATTTTATTCTCTTATGTGTGCAGTGTAAATGTTTTTTTTTTTTCTTGGTTTACTATAATATTAACCTTGCTGCAGAGACTTGCTGTTCTGATATTTAAAACCATACATCCATCCTCTGCAGTAGATAACACTTATCATCTACTATTTAGCTGGCAGTGCACTATCCAGTTTAAACCTGATAGGGCTGGTGATGGATTTCTTTGCAAGGTTGCGCATAAAACCTTTGAATCGACAATACTGGTCTTTAGTCTTTTTTTTTTTTTTTTTTTTTTTTCCTTTCTTTTTTTTCTTCTCAGCAGTGACACCCACAGTCTCACTTCTCAAGCTTCAACATACAATTACAAAGTTTGTTTTACTGCCTTCTTTTTTTTAATTTTTTTTACTTTGTGTACAAAATTTTTCCATCCATACTCTTCAACCTCTTTTGGACCCTTGAGAGCTGAACATGATGTGCCTTAGTCTAAAAAACACATGCTATAGATGCAGAGATGATGGTATTTGGTACTCACTCCGACAGTAGTGAGGTTTTAGATGGTCAGTCTTTAGGCTGCTTTACTGTAGGATCATATTTTATGGTCTCATATCAGGCCATATTCTGCTGATCCAGTTATAAAAACCCCTGACTATGTGGATGTGCTTGTAATGAGCTCACTATCGGATTTTTATCTTGGCGCCTTCTACATTTCTGTCCTTTTAAAGTGCAAATGGTCCCTCTAGCTGTTCCCCTGGCCTATGTGAGGGTATTGATTAAGCCCCCCATCTTCATTTGTCGATCACTCTGACAGCCAAACGGCCTTGTGCTGGGAAAGAAAGTTTCATTCCTGTCAGTAATCTCAACATTGTAGCACACAAACTGCAGGACTGGGACCATAATGGCTAGTACAACTTCTACAGTGGTACAGATGTGCTCTGCAACTTTTGTTGGAACCCAGAATACCCACATTCATAAGGTCACTGAATAGTTTAATGGAAATAATGTGACTTTCATAGTCACAGTTAAGATCTCAACCCAGTTGAATACCTATTTGAGATTTTGGAACAATATCTAAGTCTTCACTGTTGTCATCAAAACCTCAAATTAGGTCATATTTTTTTGGCACTCCATCCTTTGTGCACAGCTCCAGAGACTTGAAGAGGCAATGCCAAGGCACATTAAAACTGTTGTGGCGGCATTTGGGACCCCTCACTGAGAAATTTATGCTGGGGGTTCCTTTAATTGTCACGTTTCTGTAGTCATATAATAACAATTCTGCTACACACAATTGATGCTGTTGATTAATATAGCTGTTAAAAACTTCCTTGTATCCACTAGTGCATGACTGCTCTGTTTTAATGTGTCAACATTTTCTTCATTTCAAGCACAAGCTCTACTTTGTGCATACTGTTTGCATCTACTATAAGACTTAGCCAGTCCAGAGCTGGACTATGATTATATACTGAACATGCCTTTTGTTAACGCAGCAAAACTGAAGAATATCTGTCTTGTTTTAAACCATTTGACAGTGTTTAGCGGACTGAGTTATTTCCTGGTAAAGCTAAAGATGGTTGACTGAAAGAGAAAGAGAAAATGTAAATGTATTGTAAATGTTTAATTTAAGCATGCATTACAGACGTTCTAAGAATATGTGCTATTCAGATTTGTAACTGGAGTTCAATGATTTATTTATTTATTTATTTTATGAATTTTTAGTGACCCTTTTAGTTTGATAAATGAAGTTGGATAATGTGTTACTTGTAAGATCCTTTCAAATGATACGTCATGTGCATATGGAAAATGACAGCATACATCCCATCCCCGGGGGACTTCACGTTTAAAGAAACCAAACACAGTTATACATTAATGCTAAATAAAGAAAATGTTGTGTAGTGTTCAGGAGTCCATGGTCTAGTAAAAACAATCTGTTCCTCATTAGTAGTACTTACTTATAGTATTACTTATAGTGCAGTAGTGATTGTATGAAAACTTCCATATACAGATATGAGCCCCCCCCTCGAGGTAAAACTGCTGCTTGGCTTCCAAAGCCGTCATCTTCAGTGGTGTCACTCATCTTATCTTTAGAGTCATTATGCCAAAGTAGCTCAGCAGGTAGATGGGTTCATAGTGGCTTTTTCAGAAAAATGTGTGACTAGACAGTACAGAAAGAATGCATCCAGAGGCATTTGCATATTTTTCCAGCATATTGATGTGGATCACTTGTGTTTGCCACAATTGTGTGTGTTAAAATTGAACTTTAGACCTAAAATTTCATGTTCCCTTGTTCTTTGTAAGGCAGACACAGATATCATTGTTTAGTTCTGTGTGCAGGCGGTCATTATAGTCTAGCACCCTCTAATTTTGCCTTTGGACTCAGCACAAGGCTACTGAGATGTAGAGAGATGCTGCAAGGGTCCTTAACTGGTGTGGTTTTCATAAAGCCTTTGTTAGAGAGTACTTGAACATGCCCGGTGGTTTGTTCTTCTCTGTGCATACACATATAGTCTGTGTTTGCTTGACTGTGTGTGTGCGTGTGTGTGTTTATGTTTTGTGTGCGTGCAACACTCAGCCACTCATTACTGTCCAGCTCTTAGTATTCTTTCCTGTGGAACAACAATCAGAGGCTTTTAGTGCAAAAGCTTTGGTGAATAATTCAGGGCTGATATTATTTGCTGCGGTGAGCAGAAACAAGACGGGCCACTAAACGACATAAATGGATTTCTTCTATGAGATCTCACAGGGAGGGGAAGAGGAGAGGTGTTGGTTGCAGTGATAGACGAAGGTCCAAATGGTGAGGGGAGGGATGCACTCGCTTATTCACTAATTGGTTTAGACGTTTCCTAGTAAGACACTCCCAGTTTGGGTGGACCTGCTCCATCGCTGTCTGCAGTGTGTGTTTATAAGAGCAGACTGGCACTCCATAACCTCGCTCATGAGCCGACCTTCAAGAAATCGGGTGAGTTTGAGGAAAGATTTGCACTCAAGATCACACGAGTGCGTGTGTGTTCTGTGTGTGTGTGAGGGGTTCGTGGACTGAAGAGTGTGTGGGTGTGTGGATGCATGCTGCCTAGCCTGAATTGTCTTCCTATATTTATGTCTTAGTAGTTTAAACCAGTAGTTTAAGGGAAGAGCCCGAGATATCATAATGGTGTCAACAATTTGACATTAAAACAAAAAACAACTATATCAAAATCTCACTTATTGTTGATTTTGAGTTTGTCGATGATTAGTTGGTTTTATTGAGTTTGTTGTATATGGTGTGAGATTATTGCTTAAAAAATTTTAATTTTAGAATGAGGCTTTGTTCTTTGCGCCAAAGTGTGTCCAGATGCAAGGAGGCTACTCTTCAAGTGTACAAGTGTATTTGTCAGTGAAATGTGATTTTTTTTTTTTTTTTTTTTTTTGGGTAACAGAGAAAGTACAATGACTTAGACAGAATGTAGTTAAGGATACAGAAAAGATCCGTTTCTAGTGTTGTAGGTTTTATTTAGTGTTTATTTATTTGTCCTATTAAATGTCACTAAATTACTTTTTTTTAGCCTTTTTTAAAAAAAAAAAAGTTTTTCAGCACCCATTTATTTACCACGTTGCTGTTTTGTGTATATTTAGTGTTGTTTCCTGCTTTCAGACCTATGTAGCAATAATGTTCATATAAAATTTCAGTCTGACAATGTGATACGTGGCTTTTACTGAGAAAAACTGCTTTGTGGTCATTGCTGACTGGTGCATTTGGCATTAAGTTACATTCTTGTAGTGATAGTGGACTTGATGCAGTGCTGCCCCCTGTTGATTAATTTCAGCATAATATTTTTCTTTAAGATCTGAATGATGCAGCAGTTGAATGGAGGATGAGGAAGGAGGACTGTGTATTTCCAAGGGGAGCAGAGTTGCCTTAAACTAATCTCAAGCACCTTCAATGAATCCCAGCTTTATATTAAGCATCTGTGGCATGTGTATATTCTGCAGTTGTTTCAAATTATTTTTTACATTTTATTCCAGTCCTGATCTCCTGCTTACACCTATTTTCAGTGATGTGCTCAACTTTATTGTGGGCTACTCAGAAAGCTTGGCTCTCCTTAATAGTCTTGCAAGAAGTTGGAGAAGGAATGTGCCCCCTCCTGTTGCTTGGTGCATGTTTAAATGCTTCCTCTTTTGCAGAGAGCATGTGCCCTCTTGCGTCCTGCTCCTTAATCACCAGCAAGTCACCTGAATGCTCCCTGTGTAACCCTGCCGTTGTAAACCTGTCAGGGGAGGGTGGTGCTGGCTATGTTGTGCGACTCTGATTACAGGATGCATGGCCGTGTGCTGCCCCAAGCAGGAGTTCTGTTTTTTTTATGGGAGCAGGTGCTATTTAAGGAGGTGGCTGTCCCCTGTCGGCCCTTGCCAGCTTTGTCCGTGTCACTACTTTATTCTTCTCTGCACGAGTTGCCTCAGCATCAGAAGGAGGAGGCGAAGGAGGGAGGGGTGGCATGTTTGCGGGAGGGTACACCGGTGCCCCCCGGGGGGTTCCCGGCAAGCGCAAGTCCAGTTACTGTCCTCCTGAAAACCTGCAGATCACCAAACCGCCAGCGGCAGGCAGCGGTGTTCGGAAGAGCAGCAGCAGCGGCAGTGGCAAGATGCTGTCTATGTCATACAGCGAGAGCATCCGGAGCGGGATCAACCGCTACCACTCGGACCAAGGGCTGAATCAGCCACCGGTCAGGCCCACTGATCAGGCCGAGCTGCAGAGACTCCGGGAACAGAGGGTCGCCGCTCAGATTAAGAACATGGAAGACTTCCTGAAGATGAATGGCCTTGCCCTGGAGGAGTGTGTGTCCTATCAGACAGGCATGAAGTACAGGTAAGAGAGAAGCAGAGCTTGAGAGGGACTGAGATACTCACCAGACTGGGACAGTGGTGGGTGCTGAGAAGCTGCAGGTAAGAGCAGCTTTGCAGCTGGAATAGACAGATCAGGTGTGTGTGTGTGTGTGTGTGTGTGTGTGTGTGTGTGTGTGTGTGTGTGTGTGCTTATAGCTGCTAGTGCTTCTGTCGAAGTTTTTTAAGTAGACAAATGAATTTCTGTCACCACAAACGTATATGTCTTTAGAAAGTGTTTATCTGCCGCTTCTTTGTTAGTAGCAGCACAGTGTTGCTGTGTCCTCTGGTCAGGCTGCATTCATGCAAAGGTACTGGGGCTCAGGTTTTATTTTAATAATCTAGGTCGGTGGCATATTTGCCCAAATGCATGGGAAGGACAGACTGCTCCGTAAGGAGTTACCTGCCCCCTTAAAATCTCACTCAGACTTCCTTTTCCTTTCCCTTGATCACATATATTTTGCCTTCTTCTTCTGTTAAGCATTCCTGGTGACTGTGCAGAGAGCTCTGCCTCACAAGCCAAACATGAATAAGTAACTACTTCAAGTGTGTTCAAAGTTACCTGGAGTTGCCAATTCTGCCCTTTTTAATATTTGATTTGACCTTGTGTATTTGTTTTGGCTTGGGTAAAATGTATTAAATTGCAGGTTTAAATGTTTATAGAGTAATAATATTACCTTAGTCTGTTTCAGTGTGAAGTGTCAACTGCCTTCTTGGCATGAGGACAACAATGCTGATTTCAAATTCAATTTAAAATTTGTATGATGTCCCTAATCTAAACAATTTAAACCTTCTGTGGTATATGAAAAATCCATCCTACATCACAAAAGCTTTAAATATTAATATATATGGTACCATGCAAAATATTATCAGATTATCAACAACACTGTATGCAGGCCTTGTAACACAAATGTTGATATTTGTTGGTCCACAGACTGACAAAAGTAGAAGGCCATGAATTAAATTTTAGAAATATTTTTATTTTTTGTTTCTAAAGTGTAAGCCTACTTATTTAAGCACTTCTAAAAGCTGTAACAGGAAGACAAAAAAAAAAAAGAATTTGGACCATTCGCTCCTTTTGTTCGTGCCGTCTGCAGAGTGACAGAAAACTATTTTCTGGACTGTTGGGCTGACAGCAGCCGGTTTAGCGGCTGTTGTGTTGGCTAATATGGCCTGTTAAGCTGATGATGTTATTGTCGCGGACACGGATAGGTTTCATCACACTCAGGCACGGCTGCTGTTGTTTTTGACTCTGACCAGTGACTATGCCTGGCTGCTGTTACCGTGCCTGGGGTGAGCAGGTTTTACTGTCGTCTTCAGGTAGTGTTGTATGTCACCATATCTGGCATGTTACCTTGCCTGTAGTTACCCCCGTGTTGTGTAAAACTCAGTCACTGATCCATGACAGGCTTAGCCGCAGCTTTGCGAGGATGCATGTAGACAGGGAGTTTAGTCATGCAGACGGCGTGTGCAAGTCTTTGAGTATCAGGATTAAAGAACATCGGTACTGATTGTAAGTTGTAGCATTACTATATGAGTTGTTGTTGTTTTTATTATTTATATTGTGTGCAGTCCAGAAGTCTTGAAATATATCTGTGGGATTTATTTATTTGTGCTGTTGTATTGAATCAATATGAATGGTTAAACAGGATCTCAGTAGACAGAGGAAATCCTGCCAGAATACTGTGTTTCTTGTACTGTGATCTCCTGCAATTCCTGTAATTAGGAGTGTAATTGGGTCAGCAAGTACACACAACCTCTGACTCAAACTCATCATTATTTCAGGTGTGTGGCCAATAAGGCAGGCCAGCATTGCAACTGCATCACAGTTAAACTGTTCTTACTCTTAACTTTCTGACATCTGTACACACGATCCCTCTTCACGCAGTCGAATGCTAATGAAGGGTGGATTGTTTTTCATCACAAGACAAGGGTGGGGTTGTTTTTTTTCCCAGCTTTAAATTAATTTAACAAATATCTATGGTCTTAATCAATAGACTATTAATATGTTCAAATATCCTTATTGACAGTAATGAACTACTGTTCATCTTGATTATGGGGATTTCCTCAAAGTTGTCAATATTGTGCATTTCAACTTAAGGTAAAAGGTTACTCCATTTCCATTATGTTGCCCTTGAAACGTAATACTACCACTCAGCAGGCCCATTTGGACACCGGAAAACTTTCCCTAGCGTTCATGTCCTCGGACTGAGAGCCAGCCAGTGGGTAAAGGAGCCAGCTTGAGCTCAGTGAGGCGAGACAGGAAGCCTGTGTATATGGAGGTTCACTGGATGAGTATAGATTTCTGGAGTGACCTAATACTAATGGACATAGTATTGACATCCACTGGGGGGTTCATACCTGAGAGTAACTGTTTCTTGATGTACAGTAAACCTTTCTGATTTAATATGGAGGATAGTTTTTTTTTCACCTTTTTTTTTTCACCTTTTTTGTTGTGAATTACAACAGTTTGATTGAATCGGTTGGATAAAAATGCTGCTACATGTTATTTTATTAATGCCGCATTGAACACTTGTTGGCCACCAGAGGGCAGACTGACATCAAAGCTGATAAAAGTGTATCACTGACACAGTAAGGTCAAGACCGTATTAAAAAGTAGGCATAGGTAATGCAGGTAATGCTGTATCAGTCACTTCCCTCTGTATAGATTTGGCAGATTTAAAATTTCTTAGGTGAATGTTTGTCTGTAGTTTCTCTTAGGAAAACTGCTTATAAATGCCAAACTTCAGTCTCCCACTTATCTATTTTTTCTATCTACTACTGTGACCAGATAGACTAAAGCCACACTAAGTCAACCACTTCAGCGTGCAATTCTAAAATGAAGGGGGGGAATCCAGCTTCACTAATGAGCAGTTTAAGTGTTTGGTTTAAAGATGATTTCTATGCAACTCTTTTAATTTGAGCGTTGCAGAAGTTTTTTGAAAGGGGAAAAAAACCAAGAATTTTATTTTTGTGTATATCAAATTTCTCCCATCGTTGGAAAAAATTGAAAAGCAGATCTCGGTGTAGTCATTGCTGTCCACCTCAGTCATGTAAAAACACTCTTTTAGATGTTTTGTTAATAGCAACAGATACCCACTAGGTGGTGGAGATGTTCCACTTTCATAGTGAAGCTGAACAGTAGCACAGATGCCTCTCATTGCACTTGATGTTATAATTCAGTCACTGAGCACAGTGAGAGCATCACTGTTTGCACTCCTACACTGCTGAACATTATGTCCAGCTAATGTCTGTTTAAAAAAATGTTTAAGCATAGCTTTGTATTAAAGCCAGAACAACAGATAACTAAAGCAATTTAAAAAGCCAGCCTATGATGAGGTATATCACAGTGCTGGCAGTAATGGTAATTTCTTTTCTTTTGCCTCAAAGCATTATAAGCCATTTATTTTTGATATCCAAACATTTGTGTCTCATTCTTAACCCACACACTCACTTATTTTCCTCTCATGCGCATGCACAAACCTTTTTGGTGATGAAAAGGCAAATCTGCACAGAGGCAGTCTAAACGCTTATTTTTGTTCTCAATTTCAGGGCATTGCGGCATGTGTATCAGCCCGGGCATCTGTGACGTTTTTCTTCAGGCAATCCCCTACTCAAGTTCTAAATTTAGCAACAGGCTCGTATCCACAGCTGCAGCTGGAGGGAGATGAACAGGCTGAAGATTAACCTGTTCATCAACTGTTTTACCTCAAGCACGCTGCCTCACAGACTCAATTCTTTGATGAGGGTCATGCTACAGTCACAGGGATAGCAGATGTTGTTTCGGTACTTGGAGTGATATGGATTTGGTTTCCAGTAGTGACCTCTCCAGTTCCTCTTTGAGCTATGCCCAGCTAGCCTAGTCTGACAGCTTGTCAAAATGTTCTAGTCAGAGATATAGCGTGGGCACAAGAAGTGAGAATGCCGGGGATTACACAATTGTCTTTTGCTTTGATTCATGTTATATTTTCATTTAATAGTCATTTATAGCAGCAAAACCCAGCTAAAGACCATAACTTGTGACATGTTAGTACATTATGTTTTTTTGAATATCTGGTATTGAAAGTTCTTCATTTAACAATACCATATTGCAACACAGTAAGGTCATCATATGGATTTTCAGCATTGCAGCTATCTAGTATGTAGGCTGTCGTAGATAATTACTCTTCTGTCTACTAATAACTGATTATCAGCTTTGTCAGTATAGATCCAACACAGTAACCAGCTGGTATTCAAAGACTTTGAGTGATTTATGCCACAACATAATGAGCTACTTTTATAGAATTACAAGCAGAATAAAAAGTTACCTCTATCAATAAAGGGAACAGCTGTGACCCAGGATATGGACTGTGACCACGAATTGAAAGGTCAGTGGGTCAGTCCCCACATGTTCAGTCTGAATGTCAACACGTCCTCAAAATATTGAAGCCCCTGTTGTCATTTGTTTGCGGGTGTGTGGTGTGAGAATAGAAGATAGTCCTGAGTGAATGTGGCTCGCTGTGTAAAACACCGTAGAATAGCTCTGTATAAAAGCTGTCAGTTTGAACTTTGATGTTTGTCAAGAGCAGCCTTAAATTAAGTAAGTGCAAGCCTTATCATTACCCTGTTGGACAATATTACTTTTATATAGCCTCTCTAGTTATTCACTATTTGTTAGAACATGTTTTGAATTGTTATTACAAGCAGGATTATTTTGACTGATTCCTTTCTAGTTGAGTACTCTCTCATTCCTAATAACACCGCCCCGTTACCAAGTAGTGACAAGAGATAGTCCTCATGGTTTTAGACACTTTAGGATGTAGTCATTTTGCACCCTTTTAAAAATTAAGAACAATATTTAGCACACAAATCCTAAACTGTTGAATTTCATATCTAAATAAAATGTTCTCATAGAACCACGACCATTTCTTCCTGGTAAATGTCTCACTCCAGGTCCATAGGCAGCTGGAATAATGATGGGTATAAGACTTAACATTTAGTAAGTGT